ACGGTGGCTGCGATGATGGGCTCAAGTATAACAGGGATCGTGGAGCTGGTGCGGGATCAGGCAGGGTTTTGTTCTGCTGTGCATGGGGTCGCTATCAGTCGGAAACGACTCGATGGCACCTAACAACAACAACAACAAGGTTGGATAATTATTTGGTGGAAATGTTGGAAAGGAAATTCAAGGATCAGGCATGTTTTTGTCATTTAAGAGTCCTTTCAAACATGAGATTCTTTCAAATTTTGAATAGTATGTTTAATAGTATGTTCAGATTTATATTTTTCCACAAATACTCTAGTTTTTAAGTCAGTGAATTGAAGTGATGTTAAGGTGCATTGATGCATGAATTGCCGTGGTATTATCACTATGCATTGTTTTATCTCTTTAATGATTTCCTGAAATTAAATGTAAGGCAACAGCTACAGTCACTTTGCAACATAAGTCTAAAATGTCTGCTTCATCAGTGCCACTTTGTTGTAACTACTTCATGATATTCAAAGATTTCAAAATGATTTTAAACAAATACGCACTCAGACTTTGGCACTTTGAAAAGTATTTCCTTTTAAGTATCTAACTACATGTCGTTTACTCTTTTATTCAGGCAGCTCCGAAGATGCCCTGGAAGTCATTGCTTGACAATAACTGATGTTCCCATCACTGTCTATGCAACAATGCGAAAGCCAGCTGCACAAAGCAGCAAGGAAATGCACCCTAAATAGCATCATTAAGTCCTCTGTAGGGGGTTGACTAGGTCAAGGGTAATGGGGCAGTATCATCTGGTAAACAAATAAAAGTGTGGCAACTTTGGATGATGCCAATGATTGAAATAATTACTTTTAGTAGGAAAAGACAGAAATGTAGTTAGTAAAACATGCATAATGATAAGCCATCAGTTATATTTGATAGATAAGACAGAATAATATTTCATAATTAGAAAGTGCCTTAGGGATCATCTAGCCCATGGTGAATCATTAATATCAATAATTCAAGGTGAAACAATCCACCGTGAGTATCAATCAGGCGTGGTCTCTTCTAAATGTTTAATGAGTTTAAGACTGGTTTCCTTTGTTTATAGTTACATTGCTATTTAGATGAATCCCTTCATTTGAATACCCTAAAATAGTATCCGGCTGGTATCCTTTGATATTGATCTGCTCAGGAATAATTATAATGCAAAAAACGCAATGCACTGCCATGGAGGATCCCACTCATAGCGACCCCTCCTTGGGTTTCCGAGGCAGTATTACTACGAAAGTAGATTATCCAACCTTCTGAGCAGTGGCTGGTGGGTTTGAACCGCCAGCCTTCTGGTTAGCAGTAAAAGGCCTTCGGCGCTACACCACGAGAGGTCCTCAGAAATAATTACATTGGGTGAGAAATGGAGCCCTAGTTCTTAGTACCATAGTTAATATGTAAACCATTTAAACTGCCTGCATATGGCAGCTTAGGTTTTTGGTTGAATTTATTTAGTGAGGTCTAGGCAGGAGCTCTAGCCAGGAGCTTGGGAGCTCTGGTAGCATAGTGTCTAAGACACTTGCCTGCTAACCAGACGACTGGCGGTTCAAACCCACCAGCCACTCCTCGGAAGGAAGGTTGGGCAATCCTACTTCCGTAGTGATACTGCCTTGGAAACCCAAGGAGGGGTCGCTATGAGTCGGGGCCGACTCGACGGCACATACAACAACAACAACAACAGGCAGGAGCTTTGGTAGCATAGTGCCTAAGGCACTTGACTGCTAACCAGAAGGCTGGTGGTTCAAACCCACCAGCCACTCCTTGGAAGGAAGATGGGGCAATCTACTATCCGTAGTGATACTGCCTCGGAAACCCAAGGAGGGGTCTCTATGAGTCAGATCAGACTGGACGGCAATGAGTAGGTTATGGTTCTAACCCTTAATTCCCCAGGAGAAACATTCTTCTTCTTTTTTTTTTAAATCACACTGCACCCCAAGTTTCAGACAGTCATCTTGAAATTGTCAACATGTATTGAGAAACCTCAGATGGATCTTTTTATTTGTTTAGACTTGGGTTCACTTCTGAGCTCTAGATCAGATCTCTATTCTCATTTTCTGCTTACATTAATCTCCAGGAACTCAGCCTGCTTTTTTCTCCTCTTGGTAGCTGTCACCATTCATCCCATAAAATTATCTTTTCCAAAAGACTAACTCTATGTTCAGATAAAATTCATCCAGTTCTTTGTCTTTCTCTGATGATGTACGTTAGCCTTTTTACAGGAAAGATTTATTAGCTAATAACTACACAGACATAGATGCTTGATGACAAAAATAACAAATGTAGAGAAATCACAAAGACTCCATACCTTAGTATAAGATGTAAACTAGAACTCGACAGAGGCTAATTTTAACAACTTTAACAAAGCTTAAAAAATTAGGCTTGAGAGAATCAAGGTGGTATCTAAGTAACGTAATTAAAATAAGTTAATATTCCTTAAAGGAAGAAAAATAAATCCAGACAGAAAATTGCCCAATGCTTTGAAAAGGACCAATAGAAAGGAGAAAAGCATGATAAAAAATTGCTCAATGATTGTACAAGGCTGAGAATAGTTTGTGTGTCAACCAGTCAGAGTGGAAAAGATCTTGTAACACATGAGGCATTGAGTGGTGTCCTCATCAAAATATTACCTAAGTGGGTTTGGAGTGATGGGTAATGGGAATAGCCTGAGAATGAAGAGTTCTCTGAATTTTCCTCAACAACTTCAAAGCAGACCTTGTAAATATCAAACTGATTCCAAGCAAGTTAGCTGCATCCAGGTGAGGAAAAGCCCATCAAAATTTAAAGAACTGCAACAAAATAGAGTATTCAAAGTGTAAAATTCACAATAAACAGAGTCCAATAAAAAATTAGGTATACAAAGCAGAATTAAAATAAAATCTACACTTAGGAGAATCATCAGACAATAGAAACAGACCCAGGAATAGCAGATGACAGTATTAGCAGATAAGCTACTATAAAATATGTATGTTCAAGAAACAAATGAACACATGATCATGAGGAGAAGAGAAAGGGAAGGTATAAAAAAGACCTGGATTGAACTTCTAGAAAGGCAAAACACTATCTGAAAAATTAAGAAAAAAATCAATTGTTATTAAGGGCAGAATAAACACTAAAGTAAAGATTAATGAGCTTGAAGAAGCCATAGCAACAAATTATCCAAAGTGCAACACAGAAAAAGATTGAAAACATAGAGCATAAATTACAATATCATGCAATCCAATACACACATAAGTGTATTTCCAGACGGAGGAGGGAGGGTACAGAGAAATAGTTGAAGGAATAGTAGTCCAAATATTTCCAACTTTGAGGAAAAATGTAAACTCATGGATCCAAGATTTATCAATCCCAAGAAAAAGAAATATGAAGAAAACAATACAAAAGCATGTTATAATTATATTGTCTGAAAATCAGAGATAAAAGGAAAATCTTAAAAGCTGACAAAGCAAAACAAAAACAAAAAACACATTAATTCAGAGGAACAAAAATAAGCACAAGAGCACACTTCTCATCAGACACCAAGCAAAAAGAAGGCAACGGAGTAACACCTTTATCTTTCAAAAATGAAGGTGAAGTAATAACTGTCACTAAGAGATTATTGTAAACATGTCTGGGAGCAACCCGGTGGCATCATTCTTTCATAACCTTCCTCCAGGCTGAATCAGTTCATTAATCAGCACTCTTTAGATGTGATCATTTGAAAACCATATGTTCTGTTGAGGATACTGATTTAGATCTCTGTAGGAGTTCAGGTGGGTTAGTGCCTAAGGCATTTATTTGACTGCTAACTAGAAGGATGGCAATTCAAACCCACCAGCCACTCCTCGGAAGGAAGATTGGGCAATCTGCTTCCATAGTGATACTACCTTGGAAACCCAAGGAGGGGTTGTTAAGGGACAGATCCGACTGGGCGGCAGTGAGAGTAAACTCACTATGGTTTGGCTGGACTGCTGACGACTCAATCCTGAGCCACCAACACTAAGCTTTTGGGGAGTTCCTTGGGGGGTTCACTGCATCTTCTGGCTTGTAGTGTCATACTGTGTTCCTCTCATGTGTGTGCCTCTCTGACCATGCTTTGGCAGATCCTATCAGGCATCCATTCCTCAATCTCCTGTCCTGCTCCCGGGCAGACTTCTTTGTTAATGACATTCTCCACTGTTGTGAAGTTTATAAACTGAGTTTATTCATGACAGCCCACCTTCTTCCCTACTTTTCAGGACTTGAGAAGTTACCAGAGACTTGAGGGAGTACTTCTTGTCCCTCTGATGGGCTGTGCCATCTTTCTCCAGTGTTCACCCCACTCTCACAGGCAAGTCAGAGATCCCTGGGGTTCAGTGAAACCCAAATGGAGACGTAATTGACAGTTTTTTCTTTCCTCAGACTTCTAGAAACTTGACAGATGATTGACTTTGAACCCACTTCCCCCAGTTTTAGGGAAAGAAGGTGGCAGAGCTGCCCCGATAGGGAGGTGAGGACAGGGGATAACGATTATGGAACTCTCCTTCCTGCACATTTGTTCAAAAAATAGTTTTTGAACATACACCTACATGCCAGGCACTGGTCTAGGCTCTTGGAATGCATCTGTGAACAACATAGACAACAATTTGTGGAGCAAATTCTGAACAGTGCTTTTTATTGTCTTCCTAGATTGTTTATATAGAGGTGTGTGCATGTGCATTTTATTGGGAACACTTTGGTACTGTAGTGCTGATTGTGCTGAAATGGCTTCTCTTAGCCAGTACTAAGGGGAAGGGATTGACTTTATACCTTAAAGTTTGGTGAATTTAAAATGTATTTATTGCTTTATGTTCCCAGCTATAGACTTTTGTCACCTATTTAAGGAAACAGGAAAGATTGTAGACACCTTTTACTACCGTGTTATATATAAGAAAATGAGATCAAGAGAACATATTGCAGTGTCTCTAGATAACTCATTGCAAGTTCTTTGGGCTAAGATGTGAGGTAATTCTTACCAGAACAAAAAGCAGGTGGGCGTACTATCCTGAGTCTATAGAATGGAACATGCCAAGATATTCTTGCTAAGGTTTTCTTTAAATGGATATCTATAAATATGTGGGTGGTTAATTGTTGTTGGGTGTTAAGTCTATTCTGACTCATAGTGATCCCATGTGATGGAGTACAACTGTCCCATAGCGTTTTCCTAGCTGTGATCCTTATGGAAGTAGACTGTTAGGTTTTTCTCCTGCAGAGCTGCTGGATGAACTGCCAGCCTTTCAGTGAGTAGGCAAGCACTTAAACAAGTACTACCATGGTTATGGTTATTGTGTTCCTTTGAGTCAATTCTAACTCATGTTGACTCTATAGGACAGAGTAGTACTGGCCCATAGGATTTCCAAGGCTGTAATCTTTACAGAAGCAGACTGCCACATCTTTTTCCCATGGAGTGGCTGATGGGTTCACACCACTGACCTTTCAATTAGTAGCCTAATGCCTTAACCATTGCACAACCAGGACTGTTTAATGTGTGTGGCAGGCACTTAAAACTATTATTTCCAGATACTGTAACATCTTTTTGGCTTTAGCTTCTATTGAAAAAAGCCTGAAACTCCCCATGTTTCCCAATCCCAATTTTCAAGAGAAAATATCTAACTGTTCAAATTCATCCTTTCAGATACTTTTAAAGGATATGTTCATGAGGAATTTATGAGAGGATGCCCTTCCTGTTCAGTCAGCTGTGGCCATGAGG